CGGAGTAGCCGCTGTTGGTGTTTTTGTTTTACGGTCATGGAGCTGGAGATACAGGATGGAGGGTTGTTTTCTAGTTTGTGGGTCATGGAGCTGGAGACCCGTGGAGGAGCTGGAGTTGGTGTTTCTAATTGAGGGTCATCGAGGTGGAGACGGCGGAGCAGCCGCTCTTGGTGTTTTTCTTTGAGGGTCATGGAGCTGGAGATACAGGGTGGAGCGTTGTTTTCTAGTTTATGGGTCACGGACCTGGAGACCCGTGGAGGAGCTGTCGATGGTGTTTCTGCTTGAGGGTCGTGGAGTTGGAGACATGCGGAGGAGCCATTGTTGGTGTTTCTAGTTGATGATCGTGGAGCTGGATACCCGCGCAGGAGCCGTTGTTGGTGTTTCTCGCTGAGAGTTGTGGAGCCAAAGATACAGGGTGGAGTGTTGTTTTCTAGTTTGTGGGTGTTCGAGCTGGAGACCCGCAGAGGAGCCAGTGGTGGTGTTTCTCGTTTAGGATTGTGGAGCTGGAGACACAGGGTTGAGCGTTGTTTTCTAGTTTGTGGGTCGTGGAGATGGAGACCCGTGTAGGAGCTGGTGGTGGTGTTTCTCGTTGAGGATTGTGGAGCTAGAGATACAGGGTGGAGCGTTGTTTTCTGATTTGTGGGTCGTGGAGCTGGAGACCTGTGGAGGAGCTGGAGTTGGTGTTTCTAGTTGAGGGTCGTGGAGCTGGAGACCCATGGAGGAGCTGGAGTTGCTGTTTCTAGTTGAGGGTCATCGAGGTGTCGATGGCGGAATAGCCGCTATGTGGGTCTTTGTTTGAGCATCGTGGAGCTGAAGATACAGGATGAAGCGTTGTTTTCTTGTTTGTGGGTCGTGGAGCTGGAGACCCGTGGAGGAGCTGTCGTTGATTTTTCTGGTTATGGGCTTGGAGTTGGAGACACGTGGAGGAGCCATTGTTGGTGTTTCTGGTTGAGGATCGTGGAGCTGAAGACCCGTGGAGGAGCCGGTGTTGGTGTTTCTAGTTGAGGATCGTGGAGCTGGAGTCCCGTGGAGGATCCAGTGTTAGTGTTTCTTGCTGAGGGTCATGGTACTGGAGCCCTGCGGAGGAGAAGCTGTTGGTGTTTCTAGT